TTCTTGGTGATTGACATGCCTGGAATTCTTTAAACAGTAACACTGGCATGTCAATAACGAAAAATATCTATAAGGAACAAAATATGTGTGATACTTTGATACGGCTGGCTTGTGTAAACTCTGATTTCTTGCCTGAATTGTCTTTTGTTTTGATCATTAGTAAAAGGGGCTACCCAGGAAATATTACCCTTCTGAAAGAATGTTTAACTTTATACATTCCTTACATACTGTAGCACAAGCACACTCTTACTGTTTCTGGTCATGTGAATAAATATATTTAAAAATATATGTACTAATATTTTAGTTTTCCTTTCAAATAAATTAGACCTGGTTCTTTTTTAGTACACTTTTAGCAATTTATAGTATTTTTTTCTTTTCAGTAATGTCACAAAAAAAAAATCAAATCTTAATTTTTCATATTATTATTAATATTATTATTATTATTCATAATATACATTCATATACCTTGCTTCTCAAGTTAATGCAACTTTAAAAAGTTTAAATACCTGTTTAAATGTTTGTATAAAAAGTTCAAAAGTATAATGTATAAATTCCATTTTAACCCAATTGTTTGGGTTTTTCCATTCGTTTGACCCATATTTGAGTTGGTTAGGGTTAAAAATACCATAGCATATTTCAGAGTGAAAAATTTTGCTGTTCAAGCAGGTGTGTCATGATTTTATAAACGATATTTGTAACAAAAAATACAAAAACAGTACTTATCTCCATTGCAATTTGACCATTCTTTAAATAAAAAAACATGGTTAAAAAAGAACTAGGATTTATCCTCCACTATACTTGTACATATTTGTACGAAAATTTGTAATATATATATAAATATGAATTTTTATTTAATTTTAAATTTAAATTTAATGTTTTAGTTTTTCCATTCATTTGACCCATATTTGAATTGGGTTAAAAATACCATAGCATTTTTTTAGAGTGGAAAATCTTTCAGTTGTGTCTTTATTTAATAAAAAATAAATAAATAAATAAAAAATAAAATAAATAAAATAAAAAACAGTACTTACCTCTATTGCAATTTGACCATTTCTTAAATAAAACACACACAGTTAAAAAAGAACTGAGATTAAATTAATATTTTACCATACTTACACATATTTATATGAAAAGTAAAAGTAAATAATAATAAAAATATATATATGATATTTTAACCCTACACTGAAAAAAGTGTTGCATGCAGAACTGTTGCAAACAATTTGTTTGTGTTATATTTAAACAAACAAATTAAGTTTAGTAATGTTCAACTTTGTTTGTTTAAATTCAGCCTAAATAAATTGTTTACCACCTCTTAACATAAAGAAATTGAGTAAATCCAAGGAATCATCTTTGAATAATTTTTTTCAGTGTATTTGTTATTTTACCGTAGCATTTTTTAGAGTGAAAAATCTTGCTCAAAGTGAATAATGCGTACCTTGGCTCTAGGGATCAAACGTCAAAAAATCAATCAAGGTCAAGAATCTTGGTGTTATTCTGGAGTCAGATCTGAGTTTCAATAGTCATAAAAGCAGTCAGCAAATTAGCATACTATCATCTCAAAAACATTACAAGAATTAGATGCTTTGTTTCCAGTGAAGACTTAGAGAAACTTGTTCATGCTTTCATCAGCAGCAGGGTGGATTACTGTAACGGACTCCTCACTGGCCCTCCCAAAAATACAGTGAGGCAGTTGCAGCTCATCCAGCACACAGTTGCCAGAATCAGAGCACATCACACCTGTCGTCAGGTCTTTACACTGGCTCCCAGTTACATTCCGAATAGATTTAAAAGTATTATTACTTGTCTATAAATCACTAAATGGCCTAGGACCTCAATACATTACAGATATGCTCACTGAACAGATCACTCAGATCTGTAGGATCATATAAACTAAAAATTCCAAGAGTTCAGTCAAAGCTACTGCGCACCCTGCTGCTGGAATCAGCTTCCAGAAATGATCAGATGTGCTCCAACATTAGGTACTTTCAAATCCAGACGCATCTGTTTAGCTGTGCCTTTACTGAATGAGCACTGTGCTACGTCTGACAGATCGCACTATCGTGTCTTTTCTTCTTTTTCATTCTTTTATAGCATGTTTTTAACTCATTTTAATTTTTATTTTCTGTTATTTTCTTATGCTTGTCTCTTTTATTCCTGTTTATGTAAAGCTCTTTAAATTACCTTTGTGTATGAAATGTGCTATATAAATTAACTTGCCTTGCCTTCTTAGTGTTTTGCTTTCATTAAAAAGATCATTGCAATAAAAAATAGAAATACAGCAGCCTATTTCAGAGTGAAAAGGGTAAGTGTGTCTTGATTTCATAAAATCTATTTGTTATAAAAAAACTCTGATCAAACAGTATGAAACAATAGTTACCTCCATTGCAATTCGATCATTCTTTAAATATAACACACAGCTAAAATTAAGATTAATGCTCGGCTCTCTATTTGCTCTGCTTACAGTAACTTAACCAAGCGAAACATCTAAATGAGCCTGTGTATGTGTGTTTGTGTGTGTGTGTGTGTGTGTGTGCGTATGTGTTTAGACTCTGACTGTTCATTTGCCACTCATGCCAGTCTGTGGACTACGCTGATTAGCAGCAGTTTTCCTCAGCTGTCAACCTGACTGAAAACAATCAAAGCCTCTTCCATATACCCTCAATCAGCATCTCTCTCTCTCCCCGAGCGCCGCCGCCGCAATCAGCTGCTGATTAGGGATCCTGCGGGCCTCCTCCAGCCGGCAGCGCAGGGTTAATTCGGGCGTCAGATGGTGTCGCGCGGGGCCACGGAGAGGGGAATGAGAACGTGAGCTGGATGATATTGGATGGATAAAGCCGCCCTGTCAATCACTGGGGATTCACTGTAAAGGCTCAAAGACTCTCTTCATCTTGCTCTTCTCTCTCTCTCTCCCTTTCTCTCCAGATAATCTATTTTTGCCATGTGTGGATGCTCCAATTAAATCAGATACTGGTCAGATATTTTGGCTATTTTTTGAAAATTGAAAGCAATTAATTTATGTGTTGGATTTGCCTTGCATTGCAGAGGATATTTTTTATTTGATTATAATGTTATTGTTGCTTTTATATGCATCTTTTATTTTATATTTAATTTAATTTAATTATTTATTTAATTTAATACAATTGAATTTTTAATTTATATTTTATTTTATGTATAATTTAATAAAATTTTATTGTATTTTTAATTTATATATTTTTTTATATTTAATTTAATTTTATTTAATTTTCGATTTGTATTTTATTTTATATTTAATTTAATTCAATTTAATTTTTAATTTATATTTTATTTTATATTAATTTTAATTCAATTTAATTTAATTCAATTAAATTTTTATTTATATTTAATTTAATTTAATTTCATTATATTTTTATTTAATTTAATTTTAACTCAAATTTAATTTAATTTAATTTAATTTAATATTATTAGTTTAATTTATTTATTTATTTTTTATTTATTTTTTATTTTATTTTATTTTATTTTATTTTATTTTATTTTATTTTATTTTATTTTATTTTATTTTATGAAAATTCAAAGCAATTAAATAATGTGTTGAATTTACCTTGCATTGCAAAGGATATTTTTCCTACTAACACTTTACCGTGGGATTGTTGTTTTTTTATGAATCTTTTTTTAAATTTTATCTTAGTTTTAGTGCCAGCATTAACAGAATTATGTGTATTTATATATGTGAATTGTGTGTGTGTGCGTGCGTGCGTCTGTGTGTGTGTGTGTGTGTGTTTTACTTTATTCCTCTGTGGTTCTTGGTGATTGACATGCCTGGAATTCTTTAAACAGTAATACTAGCTTGTCAATAAGGAAAAATATATGAGGAACAAAATATGTGTGGTATTTTGATGATTTTGATGATTTCTTGTTATTTATATTTATTTTTTTATTTGTTTTATATTTTTTATATTTTCAAATGAAAAAATTCTGGCTATTTTTATTGTATTTTTAATATGTATACAAATAATACATATAATTTGATTATTAATCATATTTATTATTTTAATAAACATCACTTTTTATAATTTTATTTCTGCTTTTAAATAAGTGGCATATTTTAATTTTCAAGGGCATACAAACTTTTTTTTTTATCTTGATGGAGCATGCATTTTACACTTTATTTGACAACTTCTTTGTAATGTGTAATTTTTGTAATTCTTTTAGTTTATTTATTAATTTAAATAACATGCACCGTTTAATATTTATTTATATTGTTTAGACTCTATTTCATTCTATTTCATCATTCTGCAGATGCAAGATGCCCTTATAACTTTTTAAAAATGTATTTAATAAATAATTATTTTTAGTCTTGCTAGTGCTGAAAAAGGCCATTTAACTCCTGTAAAATATAAGGATGCGCCAATGAAATCATACAACTTGGATATGGAATATATAGATTGCAAATAATACATTTACAGCATGGATCACATATTGCATAATGTAGTTCACCACTACACTGTTTATAATTTTATTTATGCCTTTATTTATGTTGTATTTTATTTATTTTTATTTACCAAATGCAATCATTTTTAAATGTTTAGATTCTTAGATTAACTTGATTGTGCTCATGTTTTCTGGAGCTAAAACAAACAACATCTATGCACAAATGCCAAATGCTTGACTAAATGATTAATTTGATCAACTGACTTGACTTAATGAACATTTACTCATATTAGAGAACATAAAGGCATAGTTTTAAAGCTTGAATCGGTTAAATACTATTCATCATTAATTGATTTGCCAATTTTTTCCCCTAATTTCTCAAAATAATTTACTTTTAATTACAATTGTTATCGTTTTGGACGTTTTTATTATCTGTTAAATTAATAGTTAAATTAAAAATAATGCATGCATTTATTTACTTATGTATCTGACTTTATGTTTAATCAATGATGATGTTGTGCTTTTACACTGGGACGCCTGGGCGGAGCTCGGTGTTTCTGCGCATGTGCGGATGTGAGTCGCCGTAAAGTAGAGTGTAGTTAAACTTAGCTGACAGCCCAACCGGTTCTGCACAGTCCTCTCGCGGAAAACAAATCCACCGAGGTATGCTTGTATTTCATAACATGTTTAGGTTATCAGAGTTAAAAAAGAGACACCAATGCTTTCGTATAAGTGGTATCCGTTATGTAGATGACGTCATGGGCACGCATATCGATGTACCTACAGTGACACGTTTTTGTTTGTTTTGTTGTGTGTTTATGATAAGCTGTATTTACTTACAGCCACGAGTGCAACGACATGTACTTTTAATTGCTATTTAGCATCATTGGCTTTATATTTAACCAGCTTTTGTATTCTGATATCAATAATATGTATCAATATATCAATATGTATTCTGATTTAGCAATAATTTCAACATCCTAAGGAAGAAGCTGCTTTTGGTTATGAAAAAAATGTGTGCAAGTGTGAACATACTGCGCAGAAATATGTCATGTAGTTGAGCATGACAGGGTAATAATAGATGTACTGTTTAATTATGATACCTGCTATATATATTTATATATGAAATATATGTATGTATGTATGTGTGTGTGTGTGTGTGTGTGTGTGTATATATATATATATATATATATATATATATATATATATATATATATATATATATATATATATATATATATATATATATGGCCCGTAGCCAGCCTGTTGAAAGAGTGGTTCTTTTTCTCCAAAAGTGGACCTTTTTGCAAAATACACCTCATTTTCTATTCAATTATGAGATTTAAATTCTGCATTTTATTTTAAGCAGTATTTTTAGCTGGATTAGCTTGTCGAATGGTCATAATTACCACACTTTCTGATGTACCAAAATATTTCCTAAAGATTTAGAATAAAGAAATATGAATAAATACTTATTTTTAAAATGCAAATTTATTACATCATTTATCGTTAGAAAAAAATAAGAATATAAGAATAAAAAAATACTAATCTGTTTAAGTTTTAAATTAAAAACTGTAGCCGATTGTCATTTATTAGGCGAATAACAAATTGGCCAGCACATTCAACTGTCCTCAGTCAGAATTTGTCCATTTCAATAACATAATAATAAATAATAATGTAGAGCTTCACAAATTTTTTAAGCTTATGTAGTAAAAAAAAAAAAGAGTACATCATGGATTCTTAGATAACAATAGTAGCCAAATAGTGTTAAAATGAATTTAATATGGGTCACTTTTGGTGCTTCACATCTTTTTATTTGTGTTTTTTTTTCAAGAGTAAGGTCGAGATTTAGAATAAACATTACTTGTAAAATGTTTATTCTGTTTAAAAACTATACAGCAGTGAAAGAAGACTTCTCTTACATCAGATTAGCTAAAGTCTTGTAGAAGCAACAGCCAACAGGGGATTCCGCTTGGTCTTAAAGCCTTTTTCAATGGGTATTTTTACGATTTATGATGGCATAGCAGTCAAAATAGGACAAATGAGCTCATGTATGGGACAAATTTAGACCTTTGTCAGTGAGGGGTGGGTATTCCGAACCACCCGTACCTCCTCGTGCTACATGCCTGATTTAATATATTTCACATTGAAAGATTTGCTGAAATGTTTTGTAATTCTGTGTGGTTTCATTTTAGTCAGACATGTTGCAATCCAGGAATTTCTCACTGACGAGTGTCTTGAATGTGTGTCGTTTGACACTGTACTGTAAGAGTCTGACTTACTGTTCTGTAAAGCAGTACTATCGATGTAAAGATGGTTTTATATTCGCACATTCCTACACATTATACTTTCCTTACAATATATTTTTAAGGAGAAAGTCTCTTCTTAGTAATATATTGTATGTAAGGAATGTATAAGAAATAGTGGTAATGTTTTTGAAGTCATTTTTGTCTCAAGTAGTCACTGTTCAGTAACACTTTAGTTCAGGTCACAATTCATGCTACTATATTGACAACTACTAGCTTATCACCTGCCTATTATTATTATTATTAAATTAGATTTTGATTGTTTTTTTCTCGATATAACATACAATACCATACAAATTTATTAAATGTATACAAGTTCTTCTCAATTTATAAATTTAGAAAATAAATAAATGATTCGACAACTTTCCCAGAGATGGGTTGTGACTAAAAGGGCATCCGCTGCGTAAAAACGTGCTGGAAAAGTTAGCGGTTCATTCCGCTGTGGCGACTCCGGATTAATAAAGGGACTAAGCGAAAAGAAAATGAATGAATGAATAATTCGACAACCAGTAACAAAAGTACAGAAATACTAAAAATAATATTGCATAGCATATCAGCATAGATGCATTCATATTTCAATTGACGAAATGAAAATCTCCCACATATCTATTTCCTTGTAATCACCATTTATTTTGGTCAACATTTTCTCATATGATACTTTCTCAATCATAGATTCCATCCATAATTTAAGTGTAGAGCATTGAATATCTTTCCAAAACTTCAGTATTATACATGCTGTGTAGTAATGCCCAATATTATAAGGGTGAACTCATCATTTGTAACATGTGGAACCTCAGTTTTGTCACCTAAAAGGCACATCCTGGGTGAGAGAGGGATATTTAATCCCAAACATCTACCTACTTGTCTTAACACAGATTCCCAAAAGGGTTGAATCTTTGTACATTGCCATAATGCATGAAAGTATGTACCAATCTCCTGTTTACACTTCCAGCATTTATTATCATCTAAGCATCCCATTCTAAAAAATGTACCTGCCTATTATTAAGATATTACCTGTTCATTAGCAGCTCTAAAGGATGATCTTATTCTACATTCCTAATCCAAAACCTAAACCCAACTACTGCCTTACTAGCTATTAATAAATGATTAATTAGTAGTTTATTAAGCTAGTAGTGTTAGTTAATGGTTTGTTAATACCGTGACCTAAAGTGTTACCCACTGTTCAAATATTAACAAATGTGCGCATATAAAACCAACTTTACCTCAATAGTAGTACTTAGAGCAGGTTCTGTTTAAAACATTCATGCCACCAGAGCAATATGTGATAAGAGTGTAATTTGTATGCCTTTATTTAAATAGCCCGTCTTAAGCCATCTGACCAAGTAAAAAAAAATAGGAGTAGTTCAGGATCTGTCGGAGACTCGCCTGTCCACAAACCTTGGGTGGAGTGGAAAAGGGCTTAGATCATGGCTTAAATATGCAGCCAGTGGTTATATTTTGATCCTTACTTAAATAACCCATTCTTGTAGGATTTAACGACAGCTATACTGGGGGGGGAAAGCTTAATAGCTTATACATCGACTGATACAGCAGTATTATTGTTAATAATTTATAAAGGACCATATTATTTCGGACCACCAGCAGCTTATCGTGGAAATATTTTTTAGTATCAATCTCTAAAGTATTTCAAGAAGAAAATAGACTTATGCTCGTTATGTTTTCAGCAGTATTTTGATTTAGGGCTGCACAATATTGGGGAAAAAAGCTGACATTTGGATACTTTCTCCCCCTGCAATACATATTGCAATATTGAGAATTTAAATTTCGCCAGATAACTGGAAAGAATTCATCATTTTAGCCTAATTGTTTAGATTTTGTCGAGGAGGGCATCTGTATAAAATATTATAAACCAATCTGATAAATACAGTAAACATTAGGGCTGCATGATATTGGAAGAATGTGATATTGCGATATTTAGTTTTGTTGCAATATATATATATATTGCAATATACACCAGATGATTTTAATAGTTCCATCTGGAAAGATATCATTCATTTAGATTGACTGTGATGATCAAGTCTTCCATGTGGTGCGTCTGCATAAAATGTAAAACATTTAAAAGCATATAAACACGGCAGAGCAAAAATAAAAGTTAAATAAACGGTGCTTTGTGGTTTTCTGGGGAGTCAAACAGTATTCAAGTAGAGAAATTACACAGCAATCCCTGTTTTCTTCCTACACAACAGTCAGATGTAAAATAACATGGTCATTGCATAGATGACAAAAAAATAAATAATGTTTAATAATATCTTTCAATCTTTATTAAACAATCTAATACACACATTCCGATATATGCTCAAGCAATATATTGTTCAGCCCTAGTAAACATGGTGTACATAATTACAATTAATCTTTTTTTTTTTAAGTTGCAAACAGTATAATTTCATGTGTATGTATGCTTTATTTGGCTTGAAATGCTCAGGGAGTCACAAGCCCTAAAAACACATACAAATGACAAACATTCAGTAACTTTATGATTAAACTTTGCAGCGACTTTGCAAAGCATGATTATTTTCCACTATTACTCCTGGTTAACTATAATCTTGATTCGACATATGAATATTGTGGATGTAAACATTGCGATATCTGAAACGATATATTGTGCAGCCCTAATTTGATTTTTAGAAATGACTGAAATTATATATATATAAATATATATATATATATAAAAAAAAAAAAAAATATATATATATATATATATATATATATATATATATATATATATATATATGAGCAATATCACACGAGTAGCAGTGCGATATGGCTGTATATCAGCACTGGTGGGAGGCGTGTGTTGGCACGAGGCCGCAGGACGAGCCATATCGCACTGCTACGAGTGTGATATTGCGTTTATACAACAGTTTGACGGCATAATTGTGTATATAAATACAAAATCAAACATGGATAGTCTTAAAAACCCTTTTGTATGAGGAACATATATATATATATATATACACACACACACACACACACACACACACACACACACACACAGTTGAATTATTAGCCTCCCTTTGAAATTTATTTTCTTTTTTAAATATTTCCCAAATAATTCCGATTCAGGAAATTTTCACAGTATGTCTGACAATGTTTTTTCTTCTTACTTGTTTTATTTCGGCTAAAATAAATATAGATTTAAGATAAATAGTTTAAATTTTTTCTAAATTAAATTAAAAAATCTAAATTATTAGCCCCTTTAAGCTAAACTTTTTTTCTCGAATTTTTAATGTTGGTCTTTTAACACAGTATAATTTTGATACAGTCTTTTTCTAAAATTAATTGTGTTTTTTTATACATTTTTGTGTGTTTTGAATGAATGCAGTCTATGTTTACATTCTACACAATGTTAATTAATTTATCTTGTCAATGCGAATGAGAAAAAATGAAGATGAAGAAATAAAGATGAGCAAACAGATAATTCCAGAGGCAGCAGAATCTCAGTCATGTGATTTGTGACATGAAGTAAAAATCATGTTTGTACCTGTTTCTTCTCCAGATGTCCTCCTGGTGGGGGCAGCTCTCTGAGTCGGTGAATAACAGCACTGTTCGTCTGGACAACACTAGCTGCTTCAGTTCCACGCAGAGCACCGTACTGAAGGGAGTGAATTTTGGAGGAATTCCTGTCGTTCTGCTGCTTGACTTTACAGTCTTCATAGTGAGTTCTGGGGTAGACTCATTTTAAGTGAGGCAAATCGCTGACAATTTGTGCTTTTAGACTAAAACATGAAACTATTGATTGTCTACGACTAATTCATGGCTTCGCTTGAGGCGGTGCTGACCACAACAATTCATTTAGTGTTGTGTAGTGTTTAAGTCTGTAGCTTGTCATTATTTTCCTATTGACTATTGACCCCATCCAATGCACGGTATGCAATGGTAAATTAAGATAAAGTTTTGTGCTAATCCAGAAACACAGATGATCTACAGTATCATGCAAAATGTATGTCTTTCATAAATGACTAAACTTACACTCAAATACCATTTTCTCTGTAATTTCATACTCGGCATGGGACGGTAATGCTTTGGTCAAAGTTTTAAAGCTGCTTCAGTTTTCTGTTATACTGTTTCCACTGTATATGTAAGGTGTTTTTAGGGACTGTTTAATTTAGTTAACACTATATCCAGCAGAAAAGGACCGTCTACTCAAAAGCTACTGGTCAGCCCATGATTTAGTAAACATTTGATAAACAAATTGCTTATAAACCAACATACAAGCATATGCTGACCTGAACAGCCACAGCCGTATCACCCTGCAGCCTAAGACCGTTTACTCATTAAAGCTGAGTCTGGTCAGTATCTGGATGGCAGACCACATGGGAAAACCAGGTTGCTGTTGGAAGCAGTGTTAGAGAGGCTAGTAGGGGGCGCTTAACCTGTGGTCTGTGTGAGTCCTAATGCCCCAGTACACTGAAGGCTATGTACTTTTGATTGTTTTTGTTGACAAGCGATTAAGGTAAGAAAGTGTATTTTATTTTATTTACTTTTGCTGAAAATAGGAAATTTTATAGGGGATTTAAATTAAGATTGTTTTGTTTATTGTTTTGGCTTAGTCAGCTCCTAAAGTTGAAAAAAAGAGCCCAATTTTGTTCGAGAAAATCATTGTGAAAATAAAATCTTTATATATTTTCTTAAGCAGCATTGTGTGTGCAATCTTCTCTTTCATGTTGCGTCCTTACCACTATACTGTCAATGAGCGCTGTCTTTCGGATGAGATGTTAAACCGAGGTCTTGACTCTCTTTGGTCTCTAAAAACCCCATGGCACTTCTCGTAAAGAGTAGGGGTGTAACCCCGGTGTCCTCACCAAATTCCCTCCATTGGCCCTTACCGATCATGACCTCCCAATCATCTCTATCCACCAAATTGGCTCGATCACTGTCTCTCCACTCAATCTATAGCTGGTGTATGGTGAGCACACTGGAGGTATTGTCCTGTGGCTGCCGTCGCATCATCCTAGTGGATGCTGCTCACTGGAGGTCATGTGGAGGGGCTCTTATGATTGTGCCGTGCTTTGGGTGTATGGCAATACACAATATATGGCCTATATGAATACACCTTACTTACTTACTTACTTACTTACTTACTACAACAATGCAGTGGCTTTCTCTATATCCAAAAGAAATATCTCCAAAAAAACCCTTTTATTTAACCTGACATGTTTACTGTTCCTAAATATTTTAAATGTTTCTTAAAATAAAATATATCGTGTTCATTGCGGAAAAAGTTGTTGTATTTTAGGCAGATTTTTAATAAAAGAACATATTTTAGACCAGTAATCAATAGCGTGAAACCGTGATAATTTTATCCAAGACTATCATACTGTCAGAATCATGCCAGCCCATGCCTAGTGCTTATCCATAAACACAAATAATCGGTCATGCATGCTGTATATCTTTCTTAAATGACTAAACTTACAGTCAAGTACCATTTTCTCTGTAATTTCACTTTATAACATTTAGTCACTTGGAGTTGTATTGAAACATTCCCTGTTCTCAGACTCTACTGATACCAAAGACTCTTCTTCTACACTGGGTTTTCTTCTACACGGGAACAAATACTAAAGCTAAATGCATCTGACATTTTTCAGTGGTTTGATTTGATTGGCTGATGATACCTTTGTATCTCCCTGCAGTTGCTGCTTTCGATCTTCACTCTGATCAGAAGAAAACTGTGGGATTATGGGAGACTCGCTCTTGTTGCGGAGACTGATGTGTATGTGATGTCCAGTAGTTCTGATTCAAAAACATTACATAAAATGAGCAGCTTAAAATTATTCTATTCTATTCTATTCTATTCTATTCTATTCTATTCTATTCTATTCTATTATATTATATTATATTATATTATATTATATTATTATATTACATTATATTATATTATGATATATTGTATTATTATATTATATAATATTATATTATATTGTGTTATATTATATTAAATTCAAATTATATTATATTATATTATGTTATGTTATGTTATGTTATGTTATGTTATGTTATGTTATGTTATATTGTATTGTATTGTATTATATTATATTATGGTATGTTATATTGGCGTCTGCAGGTTTGGCGATGGTAGAAAACGGCGTTACAGTAGATTGACGTCATCCATGTCTGTTGAGGAGCCTGAATATGAAAAGGTGAGGGTAAAACTCTTCGTTATCTTTATCTAATGTGACATCAGTAATAACATAATTCACTAATCAAATCAATGAAACATTTTCCTAATCTCCTGTAGGGTTAAGAAGAACCTCCAAAATGTCAATATTGCAACAGAAACCAAACATATTATATTGCAATACCCTATTTGTAATGTTATCAGACAATGATTTATATCTGGAGAGACCTTTTAAATGTGAATCCTTCCAAAATTGTACTTTTTAAGTCAAAAGTAAACCTTATATTATTATTATTATTTCATATTTATGTATTTTATCCTACATATTATTTATATTATTTACTTATTACTTGTATATTTTATTGATTTTAGTGACTTTTTATAATGTTAAAATATGTTTATAATTATAGAAAAGTGATGCTTGAAGATTTGAAGACATGTTTAGATGTAAAAGTCGTCTGAAATTTTTCTCTAAAATCAGTATTTTTATCAGGCTCGTGTCTGTATGTTCAGTAACGTCACGTTTATGGTAAAGAATAAGTCCTTTTCCTGGTCTTTAAAGTGAAATATGTTTACATAAACAAAGGGGGATTAGAATAATGTTCATTTTCGATGGAAATTTCAGACAGCTCTTAGAGGTTTTTGCATCTGAACTCTTCATTTATAAAATGTTGTAAACTTGACTTGTTTTTTTTGCCATGACAGCCAGAGAAGCTAATATGGCAATAAACTCAACCATCTCTCTCTCTCCTGTAGGGTTGTTGCTCCTGGCTCACGTTTATCGTCAATATGGAGTAAGTGACACTCAAACAATCATACAGCTTAAGCCTGTTGTTATTGTAATGCACTCCTGACCACAAATGAGGAAGGTTTCACAAGAAAGAGTTCATAAAGTAAATAGAGAAGTGAAATTGTTCTATGTGTTTTGTGTGTTTAGTGAGACTTTGGTGCAGGAGAGATGTGGTGTGGACGCAGTACATTATCTGTCCTTTCAGAAGCATCTGGTCACTCTGCTCTTGATCATCTGTGTGCTGTCTGTGTCCATCATCCTGCCAGTCAATCTATCCGGGGATCTGCTGGGTATCACACACACACACACACACACACACACACACACACACACACACACACACACACACACACACACTCACTCACACATGTTCCTATATCTGGGTAGGGACTCTCATAGACATAATGATGTTTCTACTATACAAACCGTATATATTTTTTCCCCTTTTTCAAATTTAAGTTCATATGATATGCAGTGAAATACTTGGACAACCACTTATGACCTTAAAATATTGACAACAATAACAAATTAATAATATTTAGGGAAACAGAAGTTATGCAATAGAAAATAAAAGCAAACAAAAACTATTCAATGACTTTCGATATAAAGTATACCCCTACCCCTAAAACCCCTAACCAAAATAATCCAACCTCCTAAAAAAGGAAACAGCCTTCATGTTTACATTGTAAAAGTACTTCATTCTGTGTGATTTTTATGCATGCTCAATTTTGGTCCCCAGTGTGACACAAGTTCCCATGAGTCTGCGTGCATTCAGGTTTACGTCCCCACTGGGATATAAAAATAAGTACTCACACATGTACATGTAAATTTATATATCAACATACATCTAATTCAGTGTAGTGTTGAGAATCCCTTATACTGTAGTTAACCTAGTAATAAACCTAGTAAGCTTTCTCAATGTTCACTGTCTGGAAAGCTAATGTGCTTGCTAAAGAAAACTTGAATAATACTCAATACAAAGATCAAGAAAATTGAATATGAGAAATATGGTGGCAATAGAATAATTCTATGCCTCTTGCCTTTTTGATTTTAAAATATTCTCTGAGCCAGAAAAAATATAAAAAAAAGTTTGATTTGAAATAAGAAATTGAAATTAACGATAATAGAGTTTTTTTTTAGCATAATTTATTGTCATACTTTAAAAAATAGATTTTTATTTTATTAATAAAATAATAATAATAAAAAATATTTTCCATTTTAATATATAATATAAATTGTAATACTTTTAATAATATGGATTTTTGAAATATGAAAATGCAACCTTGAAAAAATTTTAAGAGACTTTTTTTTTTTTTTTTAATTTATTTTTCATTTTGTAATTTACATTAAAATGTAATCACGAGTTTCAAATGATAATGATAATAATAATAATAATTGTAATAATTTGTACGTTTATTTACCATTTAAATGTATTTAGTGTAAGATGTAATGTAAATTAAATTTAAGATGTAATTAGTAATACTATTAATAATATGGATTTTTGATAGGAAAATGTACATGAACGACCTTGAAAAAAATGAAAATATAATATAATATAATATAATATAATATAATATAATATAATATAATATAATATAATATAATATAATATAATATAATATAATAAAAAGAAATATAAATTTTCTTTTCGGCTTAGTCCCTTTTTCAATCAGGTGTTACCACAGCGGCATGAATCGCCAACTTATCCGTCATATGCTTTATGCATCAGATGCCCTTCCAGCTGCAACCTAACACTGGGAAACACCCATACACTCTCATTCAAACACATACGCTTCGGCCAACTTAGCTTATTCAGTTCCCAGATTAATAAAGGGACTAAGTCGAAAAGAAAATGAATGAATGAATAATAGAATAGAATAGAATAGAATAGAATAGAATAGAATAGAATAGAATAGAATAGAATAGAATAGAATAGAATATGTTGTGATCCAAAAATTCAATTTAGTCAGTGTATGAAATGAATTTATAGTGTGTAATATAGTTTGGAACAAACTGTGTTTCTGGGCAGCTTACTAGGTATTGAAAGGCTGACGGTGGTTTATAACCTCATGTACTGCAATCATGACACATTTTCAAGTTCCTTTTCTTAGAACTGTGCTCTTCTCTACTAAAGAAAGAAAAACTAATACTGTCCCCTGTGTTCCAGGCACTGATCCCTACAATTTTGGACGGACCACCATAGGGAATCTTCAGCATGAGTATGTACTGCACATGTCCATGAGCACATATCTGTATGCCCTGCATCTGTGTGTCTGTTTGAACTGTATTTTATGTGATGTATTTTCAGTGATAAGCTGCTTTGGCTGCACACTGTGTTTGCAGTTCTGTATCTGATGATCACGGTGTTCCTGCTGAGGCGCTACACCTCGAAAATGAAGGGAACCAAGAGAGAGATTGTATGCCATCTTGCTATATCTTTCTGAAAAAGTGTATCATGTATCAACGCTAAAAATCTTATTAAATTTATGTATTCATTGTTTTTAATTGTATATTTATTAATGAAACTTTCTTGCCATGAGAATAGCCTTTGTTGCTGACATGACCTAAAATAAAAATTCATCATCATCATCATCTTTCTTTAATATACAGTGGTGTGAAAAAGTGTTTCGCCCCCAACTCATTACTTTCACACAAGGCTATGTAGTTTTGTATTTAGTTTTCTCTTAGTAATAAAAACCTTCATTTCAAAACTTTACTTGTGTTATTTCTGACTAATATTTTAATTAATTTGATGATCTGAAACATTAGATTGTAACAAACATGCAAAATACAAACAAAAAGTCAGTAAGGGGGCAAACAGTTTTTCACACCACTGTACATACAAGCTGGTTACTGTCAGTCTAACACTGGCTTATGTTTCCGTAGGTCAGAAACACCCTGTTTGTGAGGCCTTTACCCAGAACATCCACTGATGACAGTATAAAAACTCACTTTATGTAAGTAGAAGCACTTTTTTGGGACTTCTTTCACTCTGCTTTATTTGTAGCTGTTCCTCCTGACCAGTTTCTATGCTATCTTTGTGTTGTTTGTTGCATTCTGTATTAATTAATCTTAATAGTATTTCATTTTTTTGTGTACATTACAGATATAGATTATACTTCATTAAGAGGTATAATAGAAGTATATTTTAGGAAATAATCAATATTCGCCTTTTTAATGAGATAAAATTAATGACATCAATGACATAAAATTAATGACATCAATATTCGCTTTTTCATGACATAAAAATAATTGGATCTTTCCTTTTGGTGCCTCTAATATACAGAAATGAAGGACTTTAACCTTTAAGGCCTTAACATGTCTTTATTGTAAATGTGTTTGCAGGGAGGCCTACCCGTCATGTCACGTGACTAGTGTTAACTTGTGCTATGATGTTGCCAAACTGATTGATGTGAACAAAAATAGGTGAGAATGATAATTTACCCTGATATTTTTCATAGAAAAAAAATCATTTTCTCACAGACATGGATGATCCAATGTAATTTTATTGCAGTTTGAATTAGTATTATGTTTTAATTTACTATTAATGAAATAGGTAACACTTTAAAGTAATGCTCCATTAGTTTATGTATTTACTAATGTGAACATACTATTAGTAATACATTTATTATGGCATTTATTTATGTTTGTTAATGTTATTTAAGTGAAATAACTCGTAGTGCATTAACTAATGTTAACAAGCACAACTTTGGATTTTAATAATGCAATAATGTTGAACTAACATTAATAAATGCTTTACAAAATGATTCTATACTTAATGTTATTAAATATGTTTATGTATATATATATATATATATATATATATATATATATATATATTATATATATTATATATATATATATATATATATATATATATATATATATATATATATATATATATATATATATATATATTGTTGTCAGAGTATTAAGTACATCAAGTTAAACTAAATAAAAATAAGAAATATTTCCTTCACAACAAGTTGAATTCTTGTGTTCGCGCTTTTATAGTATAATAATATGATATTTTGTGACAGAAAACGGGCTGAAAAGAACCTGCGGCATTATAATAGGATACTGCAGCAACTGGGACGACGTGAGCTTATTAACCCTCGTCCATGCAGCCATTTATGCTGCTGCTGCCAACGCTGTCAGGGTTGTGAAGAGGTAAGAACAACAACAAGAAGTGTTTTTTGGGCTTAATAGCTTATTTACATTATGCAATATAAGTCTTGTATGACCCCCAGTTCGTCTCTGTGTAGATTTAAAATACCTCCTAATTCATGTATTAATAAAGCAAAGTCACAGTGTTTGTCTCTTCAAATGCAAATGAGGCCTTTATGGTCCCATTTCACAAGACTGTTATGATGCATTTAACATTCATCAGCATCTTAAATCCTTGAAAGTTTTTAATATTTTAAACAAACTTTTGAACATTAATATGTGTTTATGTTTGTATTATATCATCTTTGCATCAAATTACAAAAAACTGATTACCGCTTATCCGAGGTGTTTCTAATGGAGCGTCTATGGGGGCAGTACAGCTAATCTGACATTATCCATCGTTGAGTTTTTCTTGTATTATTTCAGCAAATAGGATTGTAAAATAAAGATTTGTTGTAGTCTCCCATTCACTGTGCTCTAAGTTTACCAAACTATAACCACTTCTGATACTGGGAAATGTGAAAAGGGTCCATTACAACAACACATCTGCATGTGTTTTAAAGTCTTGTCACTTTTTAAACTCCTGATAAATGTTTTGACATTACACACAGATAGACCACGTTGCATTGTTTTTACATCAGGTGTCAAATGTGCACCATGTTATGTTAAAAGCACCCAGAATGCACAACTTCAAATAATCAGTGCAGCAAGTTTCGAAATTATGTTGCAAGAAAGAAAAAAAAAATATGAAAAACATCTTAGCGGCAGAAAAAAAAACTATAAAAAACCTAAATAAATAAATTAATTAATTCATTGAAAATATATATATATTTAAAATGTAAGCCAATTAAAATCACAGATGCAATCAATAAAAAAGTAAATATGTTATAGTTATGATGTGTGACAGATCACACTAACATTTTTAGCTCACACTGGCTATCAGTAATATTTTATAGGGCACCTATTGTGCAAAATCATTTGATAAGGGGGTTAAACACAAAGAGTTATAAAACATATTTGTGGGGTATTTTGAGCTGAAACCTCACATACACACTTTAGGGATAACAAGGACCTTTTACATGTTGGGGGGCATAACAGGTCCCCTTTAAAGTTTTGTCCTGTTCAAAAGTCCTTTTGTAACTGGATAGAAGCTGTCTTGGAACTGCACAGATCTGTTCCTCAGGCCTCGCTAATAATGTTGGTTATGCCTGTGCATGTACAGTTGAAGTCAGAATTATTCGCCCCCCTTTGATTTTTTTTTTCTTTTTTTAAATATTTCCTAAATGATGTTTAACTGGGCAAGAAAATTTTCACAGTATGTCTGATAATATTTTTTCTTCTGTAGAAAGTCTTATTTGTTTTATTTCGGCTAGCAAAAAAGCAGTTTAAATTTTTTTTAAACCATTTTTGGGACAAAATTATTAGCCCCTTTAAGCTATATATTTTTTCGATAGTCTACAGAACAAACCATCGTTATACAATAACTTGCCTAATTAACCTAACCTGCCTAGTTAACGTAATTAACCTAGTTAAGCCTTTAAATGTCACTTTAAGCTGTATAGAAGTTTCTTGAAAAATATCTAGTCTAATATTATTTACTGTCATCATGGCAAAGATAAAAGAAATCAGTTATTAGAAATGAGTTATTAAAACTATTATGATTAGAAATGTGTAAAAATCTTCTTTCTGTTAAACAGAAATTGGGGAAAAAAAAATAAACGGGGCGAATATTTCAGGGGGGCTAATAATTCTGACTTCAACTGTATATGTAAACCTTCGGCAAAGAAATCACGTGTATCAGAGTGTTAGATCTGTGCGGACAGCACTACTAACACAACTATCATTCTCCATCCCCGTAGACAAGAATGATTTAAATTTGTAATATCACATTCCTGAACTCAGAACTGCATTTGAGGGAGTTCAGAAAAAGTGCTTACTGATATGGAGAATGACTCCCTTGGGAGCAACCTTTTTCATACTCAAACAACAGACGCGCGCACTAAAGCAAAAGTTCCCTCTATAAAAGTGTGTTTATTGTGTGTAGGTTGACGCTATAGAGTTCTACAGCTCACAAGAAGCTGCTTTACATGAAGAGGAAGTGAGACTGAAGCAGGGAGAGCTGCATCCCCTGGGCATGGCTTTCGTCACCCTGCAAAATGAGTATATGGCCACTTAGTAAGTGCTTCACGCTCAGACTGATCTTCCTGTTTCAGAAAATGATGTCAAATATATATATATATATATATATATATATATATATATATATATATATATATATATATATATATATATAAAATGCTGTAAATTTGATCTGTTTTTGCCTTTTTTTTTGCTGATATGACAGTAAAATCATAACTCTCTCAAAAATAAAATCTGGTGAAGAATGATTTACTATGAGCTTTGTGAAAATAATGATAATAAGATAGTAAAAAAATGTATAAATAATAAAAAACAAGATTATTTTTCAAATGTCAAGGAACATCAGGGCATTTTATTTTCTAGCAATATTTTAAGCCAGTTTTTTTCAGGAATTGTAGCTCAGTTAATTTGGTTGTTGATTCATTTGATTGTCATTTGTTCTTCCTCACAGTATTCTGAAAGATTTCAACGCTCTTGAGTGTGGAGGCGGAGCCAGGGGTGTGGTTGGAGAAGAAATGAGCAGGGGGATTAAATGTGGGTGTGGCCGGGAGCCTCAGCCGTCCACTAGAAGTGCAGAGCTGGGGGTGCCGAAATGGAAAGTGAATTATGCATCTCACCCGCATAATATCTACTGGTATGTCATATTCGTTATACACAGGATCCTGTGTCCTCTGTGGAAAACACAGAGTGAAACGTGAACTTAAAAGAAAATGCAATGGTTTTTACTCTATCAAACTGGCTTATATTATGGGGCAATATAAGAAATGTACAATATCAGAATAAAATCAATGTGAGTGAAACAAAATTAACAAATGTAGTCACTGATGTCCTTATGAATATAATGCTCTTATATGTAGAGTTGCAGATTCAGTTCAGATTTTCTTATGATTTTGTTATCTGTGTTCATGAAATTTCATGTACAAGAAGCACATTCAGACATGGAGGAGTACGCTGAATTGCCTCGCTAAATAACAATAATGCAATCGTGTGCTTGTGTTAATTCACTTTTATTTTTTAAAAAGTTATTAATACTATTTTTATAGTATACATCAGTGGTGGCAATGTTTTTAGACCCGGGGGCCACTTCAAGTTTTGCAAATCAAGTGAAGAGGCCACATGTCAAATCCTTCAAAAAAATCAGGTTTATTTATAGTGGCAGTGTGCATAGAACATGTAATATCGGACAGAAACATGTCAGATTAACACACATTTTTAATAGTTATTATTGAGTCATATTTACAAATCAAATTAATTTGCACTGCTCTATATATTTACTTATCAGTCATCATAAAACAATAAAAAAATCCCTTATAAAATATCATAATAATAATGTAATAATTTTTACAGTGGAGAATAGAAAAGATATTGTCTGATAGAAAAAATCTCATGTTTGCATAAAAAATGCCGACTTAGGTTGTGGTCTTTAAAAACAGCAATACTTCCTTGGCATATTAGACAAACCGCTTTCTGTCCGATATTGGTGAAGAAGTATTTTGTTGTCCATTCTTCCTTTTTTTTTATTTTTTATTTTTTTTATTAGAATATGCAAAAATCATACAAATACAAGAAAACATCAACAGATAACAAATACAAAGCAACAAAACAAAAACAAAACAAAAACATCAACAATATAGTCAGGTACTGGTATGTGCGTGAGTGTGTGCGTGTGAGTGTGTGTATGCATGTAAAGGTAACTTGGTGGAGAGGTCAGAGTACATACATTAGGAACAATAACAGTCAATAAATGAAGCAAGTGTCACAGATATAGATAAAACATATAGAAAGAAACCAGTCAGAGGTAGGGAGTAATAACAATGCTTATTAATGTATGATAGTAAATATGAAAGTAAAAAGAGAGAAAGGACAACAGTAATAACTGACAACAATAATAATAAATCACAAGTGCTACACCAACTACTACTACAGAAAGTTACTTATATTACAACTACTAATGCTTCTACTACAGCCACAACCACGACTACTACTAATAAAGTGTCTATTAATATTGATACTACTACAACAACTACCACTACTGATACTACTATAGCGTTTGCTACAATTAATACAACAATGTCTACTGCGACTACTACTACTACTACCACTACTACCACTACTACTACAATCACTTCTACTACATCTACATCAACAACATCTACTACTGATATTACTACACCAACAACGACTACTACTACTGTAACAAGCACACCATTACTACTTCTGCTACTACTATACTATACTATATATGCTACTACTCCATTCTTCCTTAAACACACGACATTCAGTCCATTTTTCTTTTTTTGCCTGATTCATTTTCAGTCATTAATGGTCGAGTGCATTTTAATATGTCAGAGTGCAGGGCCAGAGTGGGACTCTTTTTCAGCCCTGGAGTTTCAAGCCTTAGACCGGCTCACCTCAGTTTACCACTGACTATATTAAAATAAGGTTATTTCCAATTCAGTTTCTAATTACACTATCACGTCTTTTTTTGAGAAAACCGCTGTTTTAGAACTTCAAATGTTCAACAACCCTTACAGTATTATATTTCCCGGGTTGGCGGCATCATAACCTAACGTGCTAACTCACTGTACCACAACAGCTGAACATTGAATGGTGACTTATCTAGATATATCATCATTAACCTGCAGGGAGCAGAGCTGCGGTAAAATAATGAATAAGAAGGCTGTGGTCAAGTAAATAAATAAATTATTTTTAAATAGTGTGACTGCTAAGAGCAACAGATTCTGGAGCTAGGGACACCGGCCCTCGCGGCCAAAAAACGGACCGGGAATTCTCCCGATTAGCCAATCCGGACATGCCAGAGTGTGTTCTAGTTTTACTGGTTGTGCAATACTGCCATCAAATGGCATTCACTTGTATTGCTTCATTAATTTACTAATTTTGAAACCAAACCGTTACTCAGAAGCAGCATTTTAAAACCCCCCTCGCGGGTCGAATGAAAGTGTTCAGCGGGCTGCATATGGCCCGGGGGCCATAGTTTACCCACATCTGGTATACATGCATGCTTTTTTGTGGACCAGAGGTTTGTTACAGTAGTCAACTAGTTAGTTGGTTACAATATTTCAGTTTTAACGTTAAAAAAATCGTTCATGGATTCCTAATCATTTTCAATTTTTTATGTTTCCATTTTAGCAAAAATAAAACCGAATTGGAGAAATAAGTCAAATATTCCCAGATTTTTTTGCATGAATTCAATGAGCTGAACATGCGCTTTGATTACCAACGTTTATTTGTTTAAAATTAAAAATGTTAGAGTAGTATTTGTTGAAAAACAAAACTGATTCCACAGAGCACATACCTAGCAACATTATGCAAAATCTGTCTATATTGCAGATGACTTTTAACAGATGAATTGACCATTTGCACTTCTGCTTGTCATAATCCTGTGCTCTTTCAGGGAGAATTTATCAGTTCGTGGCTGGCGTTGGTTGCTGCGCTGTGTGTTGCTGAATACCGCACTCTTCGTCCTCCTGTTCTTCCTCACAACGCCCTCCATCATCATCAGCACCATGGACAAGTTTAACGTCACCATGCCCATTTACTATCTCAATGTAAGTGACTGGACTCCGCTCATACAGTTGAAGTCAAAATGATCAGCCCTCCTGTGAATTCTGTTCTCTCTTTCCAATATTTCCCAAATGATGTTTAACAGAGCAAGGACAATTCCACAGCATTTTCTATCATACTTTTTCTTCTGGAGAAAGTCTTAATTGTGTTATTTTGCAAGAATAAAAGCAGTTTTTATTAAAACAAACATTTTAAGGTCAATATTATTAGTCCCCTTAAGCAATTTTTGTTTTTCAATAGTCTACAGAACAAACCGCTGATCTACAATGACTCCCAAATACCCTAACTTGCCTAATGAACCTAGTTAAGCCTTTAAATGTCTCTTAAAGCTGAAAACTAGTGTCTTGAAAAATATCTAGTGAAATATTATGTACTGTCATCATGGTAAAGACAAAATAAATCATTATTAGAGATGAGTTATTAAAACTATTATATTTAGAAATGTGTTAAAAAAATCTTTCTATTTTACAGAAGTTGGGCAAACATATACAAGGGGGCTAATAATTCTGACTTCAACTGTATATTATTGTGTAAACATGGACTGCAGTGGTGTGAAGTGTGTGTGTGCGTGCGTGCGTGCGTGCGTGTTGTGTGTGTGTTGTGTTTTTCAGAGTCCCATTATCAGCCAGTTCTTCCCCACTCTGATGCTGTGGACTTTCTCTGCCCTGTTGCCCACTATAGTCTATTACTCTACACTGGGAGAAGCTCATTGGACCAGGTAGACCACGGGGTCTAAAAAAAGTGTCTTAAATTTTTTTTTTTAAGTGTCTCAAATTAGGCCTCAACAAGTCTTTAATTAACTGAATATGATGTTGTAGATCTTAAATCATTTTAAATAAGTGGTTTATTTATCTTTCTTACAGTAACATTTGTTTGAACATGTTTGTTAAGTTTGAAAAATAAGTGTTTGACTTTTAATGGGGCAAGTAAAAATGTTTTCCAATGGCCATTTGAAAAAAACCCTTAGTGTTTTGCCCTATAAGTCTGAAATTTTATTCATAACGGGCTTAAAAGGTCATTAAAAGTCTTAATTTTTGACTTTGTGAAACTCGCAAAAACCCTGCCCCATCAAACAAACATACAGTCACTTACACACCAACAAGTTAGCTTAATATAGTGTGTATGTTTATGTGTAGGTCCAGTGAGAATATGAGCATGATGTACAAACTGTACACCTTCCTGATCTTCATGGTGTTGATTTTGCCATCGCTGGGCCTCACCAGGTATTTATGTTCTTTCTTTCTTTCTAGTCTTTTTTTGTGTGTATTACAATATTAATACTGAATTTCTTGGTTTATTATTGGTCATATATATATATCCATATGTCACCAAAAAAATTGTATATAAAATCCCAAAATATTATTTTCAGTATATATTACATTACCATTGCATTTCCTTAACAATACATCTTTCTTTCTTTCTTTCTTTCTTTCTTTCTTTCTTTCTTTCTTTCTTTCTTTCTTTCTTTCTTTCTTTCGTTCTTTCGTTCTTTCTTTCTTTCTTTCTTTCTTTCTTTCTTTCTTTCTTTCTTTCTTTCTTTCTTTCTTTCTTTCGTTTTCCTTAACACTTCTACTACAACTGCTTATTATGATGATTAATAATAATCATGTTGGCGACGCGGTGGCGCAGTAGGTAGTGCTGTCGCCTCACAGCAAGAAGGTCGCTGGTTTGAGCCTCTGCTGGGCCAGTTGGCATTTCTGTGTGGAGTTTGCATGTTTTCCCTGCGTTCGTGTGGCATTTCGCTGTGGTGACCCCAGAATAATAAAGGGACTAAGTCGAAAAGAAAATGAATGAATGAATAATCATGTTGCTATTATTATTATTATTATTGTTATTGTTGTTATTATTATTATTATTATTATTATTATTATTATACAGTCATATGTATAATCAAGTCACAAATTGTGGAGGTCTACAAAATAGCTAAGCAAACTGGAGCTTAAGAAAATCTGTCTATTTTGTCATTGTAATATACACCATTGCAATCCTTAATATCAATAATACTATTAATTGCATATCAATACAATTATTCACAAATATGTTAATAAATTTAAATGCAGAGCCCTACATGGAAGAACAACAAACCAGGAGGTTAAAAAATTAATTTTTAAATCCCAGTCTCAGTTAGAAAATGTGTTGTTCACCTCCCCAAAAATCATGCATTCCTATTGTTGGTTACCATAATGATAACCATTAATGTTAACCTGAAAAACTGCATCTACGTGATCTCTAGGTCAGATTAGTCCCACACCGATACCCACAAAAGAATTATTGTTTAAGGTACAATGGGAGTAGAATCTTCTCATATTAAATGTGGGTCACACTTTACAATAAGGTTCATTAGTTAATGTTAATTAATGCGTTTACTAACATGAACAAACAATGAGCAATGCATTTACTGCTGTATTTGTTCATGTTAGTTAATGTTAGTTAATAAAAATACAGTTGTTCATTGTTAGTTCATGTTAACTCACGGTGCATTAACTAATGTTAACAAGCATGGACTTGAATGTTAATAAAGCATTAGTTAATGTTCAATTATGATTAATAAATGCTGTACATGTGTTGTTCATGATTAGTTCATGTTAGTAAATGCATTAACTAATGAACTTTATTGTAAAGTGTTACCTAAATATGTAAACAGACTCGTATGTTTTCTCTCTTCTCAGTTTGGCCGTGTTTTTCCGCTGGTTGTTTGATAAGCAGTCTGAAGGCCAGCTGAGGTTTGAGTGAGTAACTTCTCTAGATATGAGCATTTATTTGCCCAAGTTACAATAATTGTAGGACTTGCACCTAAAAGCAAATTTCCTCTCCTTTGTGTTTGTGTGTGTGTCAGGTGTGTGTTTCTAGCTGATCAGGGTGCGTTCTTTGTGAATTATGTGATCGCGGCGGCTCTGGTGGGCTCTGGTATGGAGCTGCTGCGGTTGCCAGGTTTACTGCTCTACATTGTGCGTTTGGCACTTGCAAGTTCAGCTGCTGAGAGGAAATATGTTAAACAGGTCAGTCTGTGACTTTTCATTTTGCGTTCGAGCTTCAAGACATATTATTTGTGTATTTTCTAGCATCTGTCCGTTTCAAATCTGTTGATTACTCTAAAAATAAAACTGATTTTTGTCCACGTCTACAGTCAGTCCTGTGTGTGAGGATGCCAGCACTGCACAATAATTCTAATGGATTTCAGACATCTATGTATATTTGAATCAGTGTAGCAAATGAGATGCAAATTGTTATTGGAGAGGGCGAGTAGCAAATAGACAAATACCTGCAATATTGGGAGAAATAGGTTGTGCTTATGCCTTTACATTGCATAAACTGATCTTAATATGTAGTTGTTAATGTGACCTGTAAGGAAATATATGACTAGTCCACTGTTTAGGTTCCGATGTTATTGTATTTTATATTTTTTGTATTTATTATTATTATTATTAGTAGTAGTAGTAGTAGTATTATTATTATTATTATTATTATTATTCTTTCTTTCTTAAAAAATAAATAAAAATAAAGTAAAAAAATTAAGTGTAAGGAAATATGTTAAATGGTGTAGATTGTAATAGTGTTTGATATTAAATCAATATTAATGTTTACTTCAATGGTATTTAGATTAATTTAATATGTTTAATTAAATCTTTCCATAGTAAGTCAAATATGGTTATTTTTATTGTTAATTTACTCGTATGTACTAAATTAAATTTTTATTTGAATTTTAATTTATTTTATTTTATTTAAATTTTATTTTGTTTAGTTTTTATTTAATTTAAATTTAATTTTAATTTCGTTTTAATTTAATTTAGTTTTAATTTAGTTTAATTTAATTTAATTTTATTATATTTTATTATATTTTATTTTAGTTTAGTTTATCTTGTGATTTATTTTGTTTTGTTTTATTTTATTTTATACTTCTTTCAGTCGGTTAGGTTGGGTTATGTCTGAAAATTACCCGGAATATTCATACTGTGAATATAGTTAGCAAATAAAACCCTGTTGGCTCTGTGATATATTGCTTGTGTCCAACTATTCAAAATCACTTTTTATATAAATGCTCAATGCTTAGTTACGATTATTCATTAGGTTGTGATCGTTGAATTAAGTATTGACATTTCTGACAATCTTTAGGTTGACAATAATCCAGAATATTTGGGTAGGCTTAACTGGAATGTATTGCTGATATCTTGTGTTTGTGTAGAATCAAGCGTACGAGTTTCAATACGGCGCGATGTATGGATGGACTCTGTGTGTGTTCACGGTCATCATGGCATACAGCATCGTCTGTCCTCTCATCGTCCCCTTCGGTCTGACTCCTTTCATTGTATATGCAATATTAGTGCATGTGCATTTAAATTAACATATCGGCCATTTATGCAGGTCTGCTGTATCTGCTGCTGAAACACCTGGTGGACAAACACAACTTGTATTTCGCTTACCTGCCTGCCCGCCTTGATCGCCAGGTTCACCTGGGAGCTGTCAATCAAGCACTGGCTGCACCAATCATATGTCTGATCTGGCTTTATTTCTTCTCTGTGCTCAGGACAGGTAAAGCTCACTAACACTATTGATTAAAGTTCACACATTTTCTAAATTTTTCTCCCCTTTTTATTTATTTAAATAGTAAAAAAACCCACATTCATTAATCAACACAAAATAAATATAAACATGGTGCTTTAACATTGTGTACATATAAACAATATAAACAATCAGTTTATCTCCTGGTAGTAACATCAAAACCTAATAATTTGCTCTGAGTGTAGTGTTCAATAAAGAAGTGTGTTAAATAAATCGTTCAAAACCGAAGAAGAGTATTGCAACACATCAGCGTGAATACTCAACATTTTCATATATTATACAGCTGTTTGATTGTAGCACTTTAACTCAGACTATTTTGTAATTCTTTTGGGTCAAGAAAGAGTTTGTAAATAAACTATTTATTTGTTGAATTTGTGTCCTCGCAGGCTTCATGACGGGCACCTCATTGTTCACGCTAGTGGTTTTGTGCATTACCGTCTTTATCTGCATAAGTTACACCTGCTTTGGACACTTCAAATACCTCAGTCCACACAACTACAATGTAAGCTGCCTTGTTCTGACTTTACAATGCTGTATATGCTGTGATTGTTGTAATTAACAAATGAACTAGACTATGTTGTAGCTTTTATATTTATATATTAAGCTTCAGTCATTTTATTTAGGTTTTTTTTATTTAGTGATTTTTTTTTTTATTGAAGTTTTTGTTATTTTATGACATATTAAAGGGACAGTTCACCCCAAAAGGATAACTTTGTCATCATTTACTTAATGTTATAAGCATTTATGAGTTTCTTTCTTCTGTTAAAAAATATTTTGAATGAAGCCTGAAACCTGTAACCATTGACCTCCATGTTATTATTTATTTGTTTTTTATAAAAGTAAATGGTTACAGGTTTTGTGCTCAACAGAATAAAAAAAACTCTTGAGATTGAATAAATAGTGAATACATTTTTATTTTTCTGTGAAATATCCCTTTGAATGAAAATATCAACTACACTGTAAAAAATGTTGGGTTCCTTACAATTCCTTCTTGTTGTCTCAAAAACAAATCAAGTTAAATTATTTGTTTAATAGAAATTTAAGTAGATTGAACATAAAACAATTAAGTTGTCTCCACAAAAAACCCTCAAGAATTGTGTTGTTTTAGCTCAATGTAAATAAGTAGTTTTGAATAAGCAGCAAAAGTTATTTTTAGGTGTAACTTTGAACATTAGCTGATGATATTAAATTAAAAACATGTATATATGCACTCTCATTGTGCATACAAAGAAGCACAAACTAATAGATTTAGTTTGCTGCAGTCCAAGCGCGGGATTGCATTAAATTGGAAAGATGCATTAAACTCAAAGGCCCTCTTCTAATCAATGGATCAAGGAAATGTCCTGTAATCTTGCTCTGAAAAAACTAACATACATAATCAAAGGGAAGTTAAAAGACTTTTATAGCAGTTGGAACCCCTTTCTACAGTTGCAACCAAGTGGACATGACAGCAGAATAGAACCTAAATAAAACATCAGGGTCAAACAGTGAACTACTTTTGATATAGTATGTAAATAATTATACTTTATATTACCTCTCTTTTTATTTTTATTATTATTATTATTATTTTTTTTTTTTTACTTATTTACACATTTTTATTTATTTATTTTGTAATTTTCTTACTGTTGTTTTGTATGTTATCCTGTAGTTGTTTTGTCATAATGTGTTGTTCAGATGTTTAAATGTCTTGCTTTATTGTTGAGAAAAACCCATTAAAAAATGTACGTATAAATGAAAATAATTTATATATTTCAGTTAACAGTTTTGTATGGTTTCAATTTTAGCAACTGTAATTATCCTTATTGGCTTTTTGGCTCCACTAATTTAAGTCACTTTGGATATAAACATTTGTTAAATGCATAAAGTAATTAATTATACACTGAAAAAATTACGGCATAATTAATAATAATCCTTATTGTCCTTTTGGCTCCACTAATGTTAGTCACTTTGGATATAAACATTTGCTAAATGCATAAAGTAATTAATTATACACTGTAAATAATGCTGGGTTCCACACAATCAATTTGTGTTGGGACAACATGAAGGAATTAAGTTAACTTAGTCATTTTTACGAATGTAAGTAGATTGAACATGAAACAATTAAGTTGAAACCTACAAAAACCTCAAGAATGGTGTTGTCTCAGCTCATTTTAAATAAGTAGGGCTGCAAATGTTATTTTTTTAAGTGTACAGTATATATGTGTCGTTCAGGTTAAAGAGGAAGATGAAGATGCTGATATAGTTTCAGAGAACTCATCCGGATTGGCAAGTTTCACATTTTTACACCTCTAAACATCACGCATCTTGTTTTTAATTCTGATAGATTTCAAAATAACCAATTTTCTTTTTTTTCTTACTTTACATAGGTTTATCTTCCTAAAGTGTTGAACCCTGATGCATCGTTTGAGTCTTCAGACGAGTGCAGCCCTAGTCATTCATACGGGACGACAGACATAAGTCCACAATTCATAGGGACTGAGGAAAGCTCTCCAGACTCGGATATATAGCAGCAATAATCAGGCGGCGTATCGGACAATCGCTGGTCTGGAGGAAACAGTTATTCGCAGATTTAGGAGCTGGAGAGGTCAGTTTGGAGACGGAGGGGGATTGACTGAAAAAGATTCTGAAGGGAAATAACACTCATGTTTTTCATGAACACTGAAAGACCAGAGGAACAATAATCATAACCTGCCATATAACAAATATTAAGGATTTTTCGGGGGAATCAGTACTTTATAACCAAAGAATTGCCAGTTCAAGACACAGTCCAAACATTTCTGCATTGCAGAAGCAGCTTTGCCAGTGAGCGCTTTCCAAATAGCACAAATATAACATCAAAAATTATTTGAACACTTGATGCTTGTGCCTTGTTGGAGACAACTTAACACACTTTATAACTGTACGTTTTTGTGTGTGTGATGCATTGGGATTTTTTTAAAGCCAAGTTTTATACAGATGTGTTAATATATTGATATTAACAAACAGA